TTACCCCCTTTCCCCGGCTTTCTTTTCCGCCTTTGCTTCCTGCTTTCTTGTCGTCCGACCTGCTTTCTCTCAGAAAACTGTTTGCAATTGTTCTTTTAATTGATAATAATAGCGATATGCGATAATGGATATAGATGAGATTGCGAGAGGACTGTCGCTCTACATGCGCGGGTTGTGTGGGAGCGTGCCTGGGAGCGTTGTAATGCGTTCTTCGTCACTGTGTCACGTTTCCGCTCTGTGGCCAAGGCAGCAATTCCATATAAAGTGAATCTGTGTTCTACCACGTCGTCTATTTCCCGTAGCGAAACGTTTGTTCTACTCGTACGAATTTACGTATCATATTGACACTTCATGTTTATTTAATTACCTTACGTTCATGTTTATTTAATTACCTTCTGTTCATGATTGGTGTGTTTGTTACGCACGTGGTAAAAGAAGGTACGGTTCTGTTGACTGCAGCCGATTAGCACGTCAGAGAGTTAAGGCGCAACGAACGAAAAGGTTGGGAGCTTCAGGTCGGAGCGCAGGGGTCCCTAGGCTGCATGTGGCTTGCACTATCTCTTCTGTGGTGGAGATCTGCTGCTCTGTGGACGTATAATTTACTGTATATAGAAATATATGTTGTATATGTTTTTCTCTCTCTCTCTCTCTCTCGCTGTCTCTCAAAAGGCTCTCTTAGGTGGTGGCTCCATGAAATACATGTATTTATATGCGTAGCGACCAAGAAGGGGGCTGTGGAAGATGATTAGGTTCTCGTCGAACTTTCCTAATTCATCCATCAGTAGGTTTTTCGGTCCTCGAGAGTGTGTAGAAGAGAAGGGTTGTGCTTCGATACTTGATGCGATAATCTCTCTCGACGGAAACCAAAGGCTATCGTCCATACTGTCTTGCAGACACTCAATTAGGAGCGCGCCGGGTCAAAAGCTTACGCCAAAATCCGGTTAGTGCTGTTGCGTATTAAGTGCTCACGAAATGACACGGAAGGAGAAGGAGAGGGTGTGGTGGGCGCAAATGTGAAAAGAACCTCAGTTGTGTACGTGTAGAAGGGCTCTCCTACAGCTGCCTCAGCAGAGAGTCTGCGAGAGAGAGAGAGACACGCACACAGACACATGCACGCACACACAGAGAGAGAGAGAGAGAGAGAGAGAGAGAGAGAGAGAGAGAGAGAGAGAGAGAGAGAGAGAGAGAGAGAGTTACGCGGCGCGCGGGTTGTCGATTGATCGTCGGTGCACGTATGTTGGACTTAGTCCCGATTTTTGGCACCTGTGCGGAATTGTTAAGAGAATGGTCGCTCGACCACTCGGCAATTGAATGACAATCTTTATTTTTATTTTTTTCTCCCCGAGGGCAAAGGCCTTGAGATTCCGTCGTGGAACGCACCGGCTCTGGGTAATTTAGAACTATATTTTATTCTGTCGGTCTGATTGCATCTGAAGTCGAACTTGGGTACTCGGCAATTACAACGTTTTCGACTACTGTCTTCTCGCCCAAATAGAACGCCCGGTCATTATTGCTGTATGTAGACTGAAAGGTGGCCCAAATTCAGCTATAATGACCGGGCGTTTTTTTCGGGTGAAGGCGGTAGTAATAATGGAGGGAGCGAGGCGGTTATCTTCAAAGCGCAAGTTAGGGTTGCCTTTTCATCTGAAGCTGTATTGAATAGGAAATCGATCGGTTATCTTTTCGTTTTTTTTTTTTTAAATAGATCAAAGAAGAAAGAAATAGAAAAAGTATATTGTGGTTTTTATTCCGACGGCATTGATCGCCGTGCGTTTCACCGATCGTTTTTTTTTTTTTTTTTTTTTTGTGTGTGGGAAGTGAACT